AGCAGCTAGCAAAACTCTGGCCAGAACGAGAAGAAGCAGTATCGTCCATCGATTGATCCATACTTGCGATAAGCGAGCCCTGAGGCCAAGGTAAGGGGTCAGACCGTCCGGAGGCAATGTGATTATATGTCCCTGATTCGGACTTGGGGCGTGAGCTGCGTAAGGTGGTAGAAGAGGAAATATCGATCGACCAGATCTTGAGAATAACATGCTGGAAATCTATATGAAGAACAACGTTGGACGATAGGCGCGCCGGTTGAGGTATGCAGTCGCAGGCAGAATGTGCAGAGAGAGGAAGTGAAAGATGAAGCCGAGGATATAGACGAACCCGCAAAGATCAAAGAAAAAGTTGACCAGCAACTATGGACTTCAGATGAGGAGAATGAATCAGTCTATTGAGGTCTCATGACGCATGCTCGGGTCTATCAAAGATGAATGAAAGAGGCTGTCGCGACAAAGAATAGAAGTGTTAGCGCTTGTCGAGACAACAACAAAGGAAAGGCAACAATGACTTAATAAAGCACAATGAATAGAAAAACCGGGGGCAAATAGAATTTATATCTGCAAAGCAGTTGCCTATTTCCTATTTCAATGGAAATATTCTCCTTCTGACCTGAGCAAGACATCTGAGACAGCCATTAGAAGCCTGCCATCGAGCCCGACCACAACCAGGAGGAACCAAAAAAAAAAAAAAACAGCTGCCAGCTGCTATTCCGTAGATCAACATAGATCTAAGGTTTCTGCAACCAGGTCGTTTCATCTTGCGCGAGATGTCGAGCAGCTCATCTCAGTGGTCTCTTCAGAGCGCTGGCAGGCCAAATATAGCCTCCCAGGGCCGGCGCTTAAGCTCCAGGATCGCTCAACCAATCCTTCAAATAGTGCAGAAAACGTCAGCCAATCAATTAGATATTATGAACAAAGATCTGCTTAGTGGAGTTAAGTAGGAAGAAAAACAAGGGCTCTTTGTTCACTCCCTTTGACACCGGCAGAGCTGCTTCTTGTTCCATTTACCGCTGGCCTGCCGGATGTTAGGGTATCACCTGTCATTTGACTGGATATGAGAGATAGAGGGAGTAATTCGACATAGAAACAAACGCTGTGAGGGAGTTATTTATATTTATTGTGGATGTATAACAACTTCTATTCCACAAAAGAAGATCTCCAGATGGTGGACGATGGTTGTAGGATGAAGCAATGGCATTCGCGAACGCGACTGGAAGAAGCAACTACCACGTGATCATAGGGACTGCACGTAGGACCAGGCAATCTAGACATTAGGTACTAGAATAATACAGATTATATGAGGAATGATGAGGGCCATTGACTCGCGAAGTCTGCCTAAAGTGCTTAGGACAAACCAAGTATTCTGTTGCCATCTAGAATATGGGATAGAGACGAGCGCATTGTAAAGTTGACATTATGCGCTGTCCTACATACGAAATATAAGCCTTAACTCTTGGATAATCAATATCGTCCACTTAGAATCAAGAAGCTTGTTTGTGAGAAGGAGACTGTTTAATCCAGCATGGGGGTCCGTAAATATCTATGGTCACAGGAACAAGAAGGCATTGCCAAAAGTTATTTATTGATCATTAAAGCCTGTTAAGAAGGCAATGATAGACACCTAAAATCAGCTAAGCTCATCATACCAGTCAATCTTTGCCCAGACCTATTATGTGTACTCAAAAGCAGGAGAGAAAGGCAGAATTCAGACAGACTCCCGGAAAATCAGTTGGTCACCATCGCCATGGCGATGTTAGTGAACAAGAACACGGAACTTTCTCTGGTAGACACTTTCATTTCTTTTACTACTTCAGAGACCCTCTTTAGGAAGAGCATCGACTCTAGAAAGGAGAAAATGATTCATAGACTTTTTGTTGAGATACCAGAGACCAAAGAGTTGTCAAGACTGACAGAAATAGCAATATCCCACCAGTTTACTCTGAACTTTACCGGCGCTGAACAAACAAGCAGGTAACGCGTGATGATATCACATCCTGAGGAAGCTCTGGGTTTCCCAGGAGCTTCCGGAAATATGATGGCAACCGGGGACATAGAGGGCTGGGTCCTCGAGGCAACAGAGTGTTCGCCCAGAATGATGCAGAGAGCCTCAGTGGCCAACGTCCCTAGAAGGCTCTCTGATCCACTGAACCTGAGCAGCCTGGAACTGAGTGTCAAACACCAAGCAAACTACATGATGACGGACCACTCCACCTGTCTCATTGCCAATAGCTTGGAGAGTGACAAAGAGACAAGCTCACCCACCTCCCCACTGAAGATGAGTAAAAGTCATTCTCCAACTGAGAGCAGTGACGTGGGTAAGTGGGCTAGCATTCACTTCTTTCCACCAACTTCTGGAGATGTTTCTGAGCCGCAGGTAAACGCATCGCTAACTGATGCAAAGACGTGGAAGAAAGGCAGAATATCAGTCCAGACCAGCTCATTACTCGCTTATCTGCAATCAACTTGATACGCGCAAGAACCATCACTCGCTTGTCTCCAACAGAATCCTTATCCTCAGGGGACACCTTCAGCCCATCCAGCGACCGTTTTCACTCGTCCAGTGCGCATTCTGCAGAGTCAAATCCCAGCTCAGTTGTCATCATGCAGCCAGTACCAACGTCGCGAAAGAAGAAGAAGAAGAAGAACGCCAAGAACAGGAATAGGGGTTGGAACAACCAGGATTCTGTGGGTGAAGGGCCTTCTGGGGATAGAAACGAGACACATATGCGCCAGACACCTCACGTCAGACCCAATGTGGGCTCGAACGTTCAAGCCCATGGCGAGACGGACAACCAGCACATGAGATCGGCATCACTACATGACCCTGGTACGCCTCAGAGCAATTGGGTCTCTGCAGACTGCGCTCCATCCCAAAGTGAGTTTCAGCAAGGTGACGCAGACCTGAAGCCAGGCCCCAGCACTGTCGAAAAGCATTTGAGTCACATGCTTAACCTGGGAGAAAATTCTGGTAGCAGTGTTAATTCACTGCATGACAAAGTGATCTCTGCTGGAGAAGTTTCTCCTGTGCCATCCTCCTCTCAACATCCTGGTGCCAGTAAAGAGAGTCGCAGATCCACGAGTGCAGCAAAAGAAAGGCTGCCTCCTATAGAAGAAGCTGCGAGTGAAGCTACACAGGATTCCCTGTACACTGATGCGTCCACTTCCATAGTGGAAAGCGAAAGCTTGTCAGCCAGAACGCAGATTCGAGAAGCCTCTCCATCTAAGGCTGTAAGCGCGATATTGACGACTGACAAAAATGCCCCTAGCAAACCAGAGACAGAGAAGGACTCTTCAAGCGTTTCCAACTCTGAAATTGAGCAGAGGTCGCAGCTGACCACCCATTTTGAAGACCATGAACCGCCTCATTTCAGCAACAGCCACTCTCACCCGTCGCCCCTGGCAGCCAGTGACGTTTTAATGCTCTCCATACCGAAGGCTCACGGAAACGTCTCCAGCCAGAGACCGGAGGCTTTCTTTTGGCAACTCGATAGCCATGGATTTCCGTGCGCAAAACACAGCTGCGACAAGCGTTGCAATCTCTGGGATGGAAGAACCGTCATCTGCCCTAAGTGTGGGCCATTCTCCGAAGTTCGTTATTGCTGCAAAGATCATCTTCTCCAGGACATCAAATGGCACTGGATCTACTGCGGAGAAAGGACCTTCACACAGCCCTGTCGCGAGAACTCAGTTCCTCGAGACGTACGAGATGGCCCACCACTGGTGCCCTGCCTTCATCCCTATGATACCCCAGAGCGTCATCGTCAGGCTGTGTACTTCAACGTGAATATTCGTGAAGGAGACTATTTCGTCTTCTCAGACTATGCAGATTGGGTACAAGCAGGATTTCCCGAAAACAATCTCGAGATGCGTTGTTCCCATCGGGTCCTCTACACAATCAAGTTCGAAGATCGGGAGAAGAAGGATAGATTCCGACGCATCCTCGCAGCATGCCTTTTCAGTAAGTCATGATTATCTGCCGCGCATGCCACTGAGGTTGACTGCTAATCGCAAGCTTCATCACAGTGACTATCGAAGTCCACGAACTTGTCGATTACATGTACCGACTAATCAGGGATGATCTGCGATCTCAAGAGATATGGTCCCCCGAGGTCGAGAACATGCTCAAGTATCAGATCCACTCTGAATTCGCAATCAACATACTACCAGATATCACTGGAGAGAGACACGCTTGCGAGACTGACTGGACCGGAAGAAACCGTCGCCACTGCCCGGATGCCGTCTGCCGCGGTGAATATCGTCGTCTTCTCGGTTCGGTTGGAGGAAATGGTCATCGCCAGACTGTCGATCATTTGGAAGAATCTTTTTGGATCTTGCGGGCTGCGAGAACGACCCATCCTGGTGTGTCCGACGTGCATGCGCGCATGAGAGGGGAGGGCTTCGACGGCGTGGCGGAGGAAGATAGAAGGGTCTTTCAGCGCGGAGAAGGATGGGATGGTGCTGGAACTGGACCTATGGAAATTGAGGGCATCAATGCTTGAAGGTCTCTCTGACGACTAAAGACTAACGTGAGTTGTTCTTGGCGATTTTCATCTTGAAGATAGTCGCTCGAGGGTTTGGTTACGGTGGCTTGTGAGAGTACATAGGAATCTGGATGTTAGAGTAGATAGTCATCGCTGGTCAGCTCCTTCCTTTAACGAGTATAATGAATCCTCCGCCATACTAACTGTCTCCCCCAGCCGAAAGCCTCAGTTGGAATCTGMAGAAACGATATGCAATGATGATGGCCAATATGTTCTTCAAGGTTAGATTGACAAGTCCTAAGGCAAGAACAGCAAGACGCTGAGATATCTGAGATAACAAAAAGATAGAACGAAAACCCGCTAATCTAGATTTTCAAATCCTCCGAGACCTGCCAAGAAAGCTTCATTGCAGCCCCTATGAACGAGACGCAAGTCCTGGGCACACAAAGCCCKGTGAATGTCCATCCGTCGTTGGCAGCACATTTCACCGAAGAACCCACCGAATTTTGAGCGGTCTTACCTCGAAATGTATTTCTTCAGACCGCGGAGCCTCTCCTTCGCCGTCTCCAAGACATCATCGTTTTTACAAACAGCGAAGCGAAGGTAGTCTTCGGCGATGTGGGCATTCGTATCAGTGTAGAATTCCGTCGGGGGGATGGCTGCCACCCCAACTTCGTGGATCAGGAACCAACATAGTTTGAAATCACGAGGGCGGCTGGCGACATGGGGAGGGAATGGGTAATCTTCCGGGAGCTTGACGGAAGACATGTTTGCAAGGACGAAGTAGCCACCCTCAGGGTCAGAGTACTAGTAATAGTCAGTAACGGTAACTCTCCTCGGCCATCTGCAATAGACTCACGGGAATGTTGAGCTCATCAAAGACTTCGCAGAAGCGTTCCATTTTCTGCTTCATTTCCGTCCGGCTCTGGTCCCAGAATCCGACCTTGTCCGCCTGCTCGAAAGCCACGGCAGCAGCTTCCTGGAGGGGAGATACACTGCTGTAGCAAATACGCGTGTGAGCAGCGGCGACGTACTTGATGAGATGCTCCGGTCCGATCAGGTATCCAACACGCCAGCCAGTAGCGTAAAAGGCCTTTCCGGCGGAGCCAACCGTGAGAGTACGCTCCCAGAGCTCTGGGGATAAGGTAGCAATTCTAGTAAAGGGGACGTAGTAGAGACGGTCATAGACCTCGTCGGAGAGGATAATTAGGTTGTGCTTCACGCACAGCTCGCCAATGCGTTCAAGTTCGGCGCGCGAGAAGACTTTTCCGACGGGGTTGTGCCTGATGTGGTTGTTAGCTTCATACGCATGTGATTGATCCGGCACACTTACGGTGAGTTCAAAACCTACAGAGCGAGTTAGCTGCAGTCCCAATAAGGTAGAAGGCTACTTCTTACAATCATCCTTGTCTTCGAGTTGATCGTCCTCTCCAGTTCCTCGAAGTCTATCGTCCACTCAGACGCAGGCGAAGTCCTTGTCGCACCGTCCTTGGGAGGATGAAGGGGGACATATCGAATTGTACCGCCAGGCATCTCGATGTTGCTGATGTACCTATACAGCGCGTTAGAGAGATCCTACGCACAGGGTCAAGGCTCCCTTACTGGTCAAAGAAGGGCTCAAAAATGATGACCTCGTCTCCGGGTTCAATGAATCCCATGAAAGCACTCAACATCCCTAGTCAGTTGTCAGCAAGGGCATCCAAACGGAGGTCTTATCGCGCCCAACCTTCATTTGCGCCGGTGGTGATGGAAACTTCTGTATCCGGGTTTATGGTACGACCAAAGGAGGAAGAGTATGCTTCGGCAATGGCCTTCTTAAGTCGCGGACGGCCCTGTATCACATTATAAGCCGAAGGCCAATTGCCAGTTCGCTGAATCGCAGTGTTGTACCTTCGTGGGCGAATACTGGTTGCAGTCGACCCGGTCGAGAGCTTCCTTGGCCGCATCTAGAGCGAATTGAGGAGGGTTGTAGCCGCTGTTACATAAATTTATATCAGCCTTCCGCCCCTTACTCCTCGGAATGAAGTGTCACTCACAAGAAGCCTTGACCCATGTTCACAATCGGCTGAACCGGCGAAGCGGCAGCAGCTTCGTTCACAATTGACCTGTTGCGGCATTAGGATATCGTTCCATTCTGGCCCAAAGTGCTGAAAAAGGTATATCGCACCAGACATCCTGTCTCTGGCCCGCAACTCTCTTCGCTGGACGAAACGGATCTGGTCTCGCTGCTGTCGCCGACATCGCTCTCACTGTTCGGCTATGAAGGCGGGGAGGTACAGCTTTGAATGCGGATGCTGCTGGTGATGATGCAGTGCTGAAACTGTGAAGGACTGCTAACGAGGCAGGACTACGAGAAGAAAGGAACATATGGACAAGGAGAAGATTATGACTGCAAACCTACAAATAAATAAGAACAGTGGGTTCCTGGTCAATGGGGGGGGGCAGTATGGGGCATTTCTGACTACATCCATGGGCGGTGATTACCGATTGGCACAATTGCGTGCTCGGCCTTGTCGGAGGTTACATTCTTTAAGCGCATTGTGCCACAAGACTGAAGTATTATTAGATAACTGTTTCTGTGGCATTCATATAAAGCTTTTACTGGCTGCCTATAATTGCTGCTGTGCTTGATTTATCTTCACTGTTGCTCTTCTGTCCTCAAAGATGCAACATTATCAGGCACTAAGGCTGTAAATGTGCGTCATTTCAAGAACCTCGGATTACTAAACACAGTCAGGCGTAGGTGTCACAGACGCGTTCACGCGTCCAAAAAGCTCAATGATTAGTTAGGGCCAGGATGTGGTGATTTTCATTCATTCTTCATGGTATCTCCACGGAACTTGTCTGATTGATCACCAATCCAATTGCGATCATTGCTTATGGGCAGTCATCATGGTTTCCTGTCCCATTTGCGGGAATTCCGTTCCGTCCCTAAAGATCAACGACCATATCGACTCCAATTGTGAGAATTTCATTGAGGAGCCGACATCGAGCACGGGGGAGCCAGTGTCTTCTCAGAAGACTCCGGTACCCAGCTTCTTTCAGCCGACCTCTGCCCGAAAGGCTGCCTCCCAAAGCATACCGCAAAGTGACTCCCCGTCCGCACCCTCACCGCTACGACCCGTCAACGGGAAACGAACGATTACAAAAGAGAAGGAGTCTTTCTTGAACGGGAACAAGCCGGATCAAGATGAAGCGCAAAGAGAGCCTCATCCGAAAAAGCTGAAGGTGAACGCGCTTCAGAAAGCAGCACCGTTGGCTGAGCGCATGCGACCACGGACTCTCGATGAAGTCTGTGGCCAGGAGCTCGTCGGGCCAAATGGCGTACTCCGCGGACTAATTGAACAGGATCGGGTCCCGAGCATGATTCTCTGGGGCCATGCGGGGACGGGCAAAACAACCATTGCGAGGGTCATTGCGTCGATGGTAGGGAGCAGATTTGTGGAAATTAACAGCACCAGTACCGGGGTTGCGGAGTGCAAAAAGATATTTGCAGAAGCCAGAAGCGAGCTCGGTCTGACTGGAAGGAAGACGATAGTGTTCTGCGATGAGATCCATCGCTTCTCCAAGTCACAGCAGGATGTGTTCTTAGGCCCTGTAGAAAGTGGGCAAATCACACTCATTGGCGCTACGACCGAGAATCCGTCTTTCAAAGTCCAGAATGCTCTCCTTTCCAGATGCAGGACCTTCACATTGTCAAAACTGAGCGATGAGGACGTTAAATCTATCCTTGACCGAGCATTGAGAGTTGAAGGGCCCAACTATTCACCGTCCTCAATCGTAGATGATGAGTTGATTGAATATCTTGCTCGTTTTTCTGATGGCGACGCTCGAACATCCCTCAATCTTTTGGAGCTGGCTATGGACTTGTCAAATCGTCCCGGCATGACCAAAGAAGAATTGAAGCGATCGCTTACCAAGACTTTGGTGTATGACCGTGCAGGGGATCAACATTATGACACAATCTCGGCCTTCCACAAGTCGATCAGGGGCAGTGACCCAGATGCTGCTCTATACTACCTCGCACGCATGCTGCAATCTGGCGAAGACCCTTTGTATATTGCACGTCGCCTGGTTGTTGTGGCTTCGGAAGATATCGGCTTGGCAGACAACAGTATGCTGTCACTTGCCATTGCTACCCACTCCGCTGTCGAAAAGATTGGACTTCCAGAAGCACGCATCAACCTCGCGCACGCTACGGTAGCCATGGCGCTATCTAAAAAGAGTACTCGAGTGTATCGCGGCTTGAACAATACTTTTGCGGCGTTGGAGGAGCCGGGGGTTGCGGGCTTGCCAGTACCGATCCATCTGAGGAACGCCCCCACTCGACTCATGAAGGAGTTGGGGTATGGGAAAGAGTACAAGTACAACCCGAATTACCTTGATGGCCAGGTAGTGCAAGATTACCTTCCAGAAAAACTACTTGGCCGGAAATTTCTTGAAGACCGGGATCTGGGCACTGCGATTGACCCTGATCTTATACCACAGGATGAACAGCATCTGGAGCCTTGAAGTGTGGAAGTGGTTACATCGCTTCCTGTATGAAACCAAGAAGCGAATTTGATCAAGGAGCGGTGCACCTTCAATCGCAATCTAGGGACAGCTAATGAGCGATTTCCAACTTCTCCTCTCGGCAGGGTCATCTACTCTCCTGGACGGATATTGAGTCGGTTTAAACATCGCTATCCTTCGCATGAACAACTGATGATGCTATTGATAAGTAATCAGCAACGGGACGGTCAGAATGCTTACAGTTTTCTGGTCGAGAAGTGCTTTCTGCCTTAGGCTGCAAGCCCAGTTATGTCCAGTCAACTCAAGCGCAGACACTGCCGAAGAGGAATTGGTCTTGTTTGGCTTTGATTGGCTTTGATGTTCACCCAGAGAGCAGTCGCTGTTCTGCTCATGTACTGAGCACTCAGCCTTGCCCCGTCTTGCTTGCAGACTGCTGATGAATGGTGGTTGCTTGGTGGAAGGTTTGTTGTCGTCATGCTGGTCTTGCCCTAACTTTGGGTCTACTATGACTCCTGCCTTCTCGTCATACTTCGACGACAACAAACCTCGACCTCTTCGGACAGTGTCTTCTGGACTCATCATTCACTGTCTCACTTCTAACGTCCTTCGTTACTTATCGGACCTCTTTGAGACCGCCTTGGATCTACCTATATAGTATCTTTTCGACTTCGATCATCTTTACTATGCACGTAAAGTAATAGAATCTGATACAATGTCTTATATTCCAATCTCGGAGCTTCCCTTCGTTCCCTCGCAGTTTGAATCGATTCAAACGTCGTTTGACCCTCGACATCAGAGCATAGAACTTCCAAATGGAGTTGTAAGTTATTCCTGTTCCAGGCTTGAGGATGTCTCATTTCTCATTCCCGCTGCTCAAATATCTGAATCTTTTCTGTCAGTATTTACTAACTCGCTATGGAGAGTCTTGCGTCATCATCACACGAAGCTCTGATCAATCATCAAGCGACATACGATACACCATCATCTCATAGCTTAAATTTACCACAAGTACAGTCACTACAGCATGTACATCAATTTCCTGTTGCTGAAATGGACCCTCCGTTCGTGCGCGGCCCTACAACTGAACTCATGGTAAACCACCACACTTTCCCAGACAGCACGGCAAACCTTGCCAATGCCCATCCAGTGAACTTCTCCCAAGGCTTCAACTGTTTTACTTCTCCCGGGCCCGTCATCGCTCCAGTTTCAGTCCCTTTTGGTACACCGATTCATACGCCAAATCCACCAGCATCGGATATGAATTTGGAACATCAGCTATCCGCCTGGCCATACGATACCCTTGGAATTCGCACAGTGTCACCAGTCGAGCATCATGTATATGACTTCGCATCATCAGCCGATCGGATTCCTTCCGAGTGTAAGTGACTCTTGCTCACGCTATCTGTATATATAGTAACTGAACTAGTCACATCCCAAGGCTCCATGAACCTCACCGGGGTCCACTGTCCTCCTCCAGCCGGGTCACTCCAGCATGATCGATCTCCTGGCAATGTCTCCGGGTTTACATTTGTAATGGAGGACGGAATAAAGCCAGCCCGTCATCGCGAATCGCGAGTACAGACCAAAGAGGAGTCAGACGAGAGAAGAGAGAAAAATAAGAAGCTCAAAGAAATGGGAGGTGTTTGCCTCTGGTGTTACCGCATGAAGAAAACCTGCGAACCGCAACTTCCTTGTCCTCGTTGCCAAGACAGCAAGTCGAAGTGCATCAGAAGACCTGCAGAGCTGTCCTTGCTTCCATGCACGATTATAACACTTCAGGACATGAATCAAGACAGTACTTCGTTCCAAACGACGAAATCTGAAGATATCTTTCCTTGTCTGCAAAAGATATCTCAGTGTGCCTCTTCCCAGGCTGTTGTCAGCTTCTGCCAATGCAACGGCGAAGTGATAGATTATTGGGTCATGCATGCGGCTGACCTCGACACTACAAATATGGACACTTCCAGCGGTTTGAGCCAGCAGCTAGTTCTTAAGATCCTGAAGTGCATCCAATCTGAAGAGATGGATAAAGTTGAGAAGCAATTTCCTGGCAGCTCTCTTGTGCATACTGCTGTGACCATGCACAAGCTGCTTTCGGCGATTCTATGCCTTTCCAAGACGCGAGTATATGTGCGAGCGACTGATGTAGAGCAAACAAGGATCATGATGTTCTACATGCTGGCTCTCTGCCTACGAGGACTCTGCGAGCTCTCAGGCGAGCTGGGTTCCGAAGCCTACAGCTTAATCAAACAGAAAACAGACTGCGACGGTGAGCCTGCTGGCATGAAGAACGACTGCAGCGGTGCAAACTGCTTCAACCCAGTTTGGGTCGCTGTTGGCCTTTACCACCGAGTCCTGGAAGCCCTTTCCAGCTTTGAACTGCCACAGCCAATGGCTAGCATATTTACTGGGGTTAAAATTCGCTCAAACATGGTACTCTCCAACATCTATTGTGTGAAGGAGAAGATCCCGCACATATTCGGGTCGAAGCTGGAGAAAGAAAAATTAGAGGCCCAGAAGAAGGCGTTCTTTGAGAAACAAATCCCGCCAGTCACCTGCTGTCAATACTTCAACGTCGTGATCTGTTCACGCCCTTTTGATCAGAATCTGCCATCCACAGCCGTTCACAGACAAACCCATCAGTCCTCGGATGTCTCATACGATGCTGAGTTTCTTCTTAACGAGAGTCTTTGGCCTCCAACTCTTGTCGCACCTTTCCTCGAAAGCCAGCCTCAAGATCCATCGCAGATGATGGACGGTGCGAACGACTGGGAAAATTTGGAAGTAGAATTATCACAGATTTATCCCTTCGACGAAGGTCTCACCGACTTTGAGGCATTTGGAAGTACCACCCTAATGGGTGACTGGTCTATCCCTTCCCCAACCGACTCCTGGGGTGGGACGACGTTAGTTAATTCGGCTGAATCCAGTATGATTGGAAGCTATTAGCTGTTATCTGCTCAACTATATTCCTTTTCGCTCCAATGATCACCATGTTGCTGCCAGAATCCGCCAACGCCTGACAACCCAGCAGCGATATGAACACCGAAATCTGGAAACAATGTATTTTGGCTCTGCTCTATGGTTTCACTGCAGGAATATCAGTTGGCTAGTGTATTATGAGCTCTACAATCTTTTTGCAACGAAGTTGGCTTCCTGAAACAAAGACCTTGGTGGATCTTGCTACATGTGACATAACCTTGCTACACGATATCAAAGGACAAAGAAAGTTTTGGAATCAGTACCATTGAATCTAAGTGATTGCGATTCTCTGTGCTAGTAGTAATATAAATTAGAATAATTCTCAAGTGAGGTGCAATGACCATTTAATACCTACTCCGTAGCATTCTGTTGTATGGTCGCCCAAGGAACAAGAAGAAGCTTTGTCCACCGCTTCGCGTCTCTCTGCTGCGACAGCTCCTGCGCGTTTCTCCGCAGACAAAGACGAAACGAATCCCCACAATTAGAACACCACAGCATTGTCATATTTCCATAGCCTCGAAAATCGCTGTTAAATATCTTCCTAGTCCACTCTCGCTTCTACCAGCACAAGACAGTTTCTCTACCGACCCGTGTCCTGGTGACACGCTTTCGAAAACCCACCCCATCATGGCCTCATCAGCCCACCAACCGTTCGGATCGCGCTCATACGGAGGCGGCAAATTACCCGATCGATCCGTGAACGCCAATGCGATTCCATTCAGCGCGTCGTCCTTCTCTCGTCATCGCGGGCTGGGAGCGACTGGGCCCGGCGAATTTGGCGCAGAAGGCGCGAAGTCAACACAGCAGGCACCGCCGCCTCCTCCTGTGCATTCGCAGACACATGGTCCCTCGCAGGACTCGAATCCGTTGAACCGGTTGACGGAGGAGCAGAGGGAGGAGATTAATGAAGCTGTAAGGAGATCTGATACTTCGTTCTGGCTTGTGCCTGTGCATTGTTCCAGCGACGGCGATTCCAGATGAACCAAGGCATATGGAAATTCTTTTGTGGAGGATTCAAGCTAATGTTATATGGTTGTGGATAGTTTACGCTCTTCGATCTCGATCGAGACCGGCATCTAGATTACCATGAACTCCGCGTCGCGTTCCGCGCCCTCGGCTTCACGCTTTCGAAACAAGAACTCATCTCCCTCCTCACGACCTACGGCGTCCCCCGTCCCCAAGTACAACAGCAATCCGCGGCACAGGCAGCGCAGCATCAGGCGCAGTCGAAGACGACGCCGGCTACGAACCCCCAGCACCCTTCCAACCTCCTCATGCCGCTGTCTTCCTTTCAGGCCGTGACGGCCGTTAAGATTCTGGAGCGGGATCCGCGGGACGAGATCCTCCGGGCGTTTGAGCTGTTTGACGAGGGCGGGAAGGGCTACATTGATCTCGAGGATTTGCGGCGGGTTGCGAGGGAATTGGGGGAGACAGGGTTGGAGGAGGAGGAGCTACGGGCAATGATCGAGGAGTTTGATTTGGAAGGTGTTGGTGGTGTTACGAGGGATGCGTTTGTGAGTATTTGCTGGCAATGATGATCGTGCTGCTATCTGCTTGTATATGCTTCTTCTCTCATGCTTGCTCTGGTTCTCTTTGAGTAATGAAACATTTTACTGTCCTCCATTCCATGATCTCTGCACCACATACAGAGGCAATCGATGGGCGTGTCACATTCTTGAAGTAGCTTCATGTCTTCGACATACTCGTCCTCGTTGACAAGTGCAAAGAGGTCCTTTGGTTGAACGAGCTTCAATATTAGAATTGGGCCACTCTTCAAAAAGCATTCAAACGACGGCAAGTGATATTTTGGGTCAATCAGCCCGGTCCACGCGCTACATCACCTAGGTCATGCTATTCACTCCAAACAACAGTGGCAGTACTACGCAGTTCCTACCTGTCTAAATTTGCAACCTGGAGACTTGAGCAAGCTTTTTATCATCTGTCATCAACGCATCTTACCCTCAGGCCTCAGCCAACATGTTTCTAACCAACCTCCCCTCCGAATTGATCATTGTCATTGCCGACTTCCTCAGGCCCAAAGACCTCAATGCTCTGGTCAAAACCGCCAGCTCTTTTGCAAACCTCCTAGGCCTGCGTCTCCTAGACCGTGGCCTTGCTGACCCCAAGCTGGAGATACTCCTGTGGGCTGCTGCCAAAGGAGACGAGAAAATAATCAGCAAGATACTCACACGCGCACAGCACAAACGAGTCAATATCCCTCCCCAAGTCAAAGACAGCATGCTCATGACCGCCGTGTTGCATAACCGGGTTGGCCACCTCGAATACCTCATTCGGACAGTTGGCGCCAACCTCTCTGCCATGGTATCTCATAAATATTCGCTATTGCCAAGGGCAGCATTACATGAGGCCGCAGAACAAGGAAACAAAGCCGCTACACAAAAGCTGCTCGAGCTAGGGGCGGTCGTGAACGCGATTGACGCGGGGGGCCTATCCTCGCTGCATTACGCGGTTTGGAAGCCTGAACGCGAAGACGCCTCCGAGGGTGAGGCCTGGGATACGGACGAAGAATTAGAGTACGGTGTGAACTCGATAGCCATTCTACGATTGCTTTTGGGGCACGGCGCCCTGACCGAAGTGGTCGAGCCCGATCGACAGCAGACTCCCTTGCTCTGGGCTAGTATTGATGGAGACACCGAGGCCATAAGCCTGCTTTTGGATCATGGAGCGAATATAGCCGCAAGTGATGACGAGGGCTGCACAGCTTTACACTTTGCAGCGGAGTCTGGAAAGCACGAGACCGTCCAGCTGCTTGTCGATAAGGGGGCTGATGCATTTGCCTTTGATTACAGCGCCTATACCCCCCTTGACGTGGCAGCGTCCGCGTCGGTGCGGAAGATACTGAGACAAGCGGGTGCTCTGACGGGTGCTGAACTGGGACGCGAGCTGGAAAGACTTTGAAGTGATCCCGATACCAACGATGTGTTACAGCGTCCACATACATGTAATAGCTTAGAGAATGCTAGTTGCTTATTTCAGCTGCAGATGAAGTCACCATGGACCAAAGTAGTAAACCTAAATATCTCAGGATACTGGTGGCAGCCATACGCCTTTAGGGCTAACCGCGTCTGCCCGCAACGCGGCTTATAATTCTCTGAGAAACGTGAAGATATATGCAAGTAATACCAACCAAATCTAACTATGAGATCAGATGTGTAAACAGGTCTGACATCTGATACGCCCACAAAAAGTCACCAGAGCCCTATGATCCCAATTGCCTTAACCCAGACCATAAATAAAGACTCTCTAACTCCAAATTATATACAACCGGATATAAATGATCGTGTTATGCAAGCGCTGCGGGAATCAATCCCACATGGACCGTGACGGCAAAAAAAAGAAGATCAGGCATACCGTGGTGTTGACTGGTAAGGTCCGGGGTAAGGTCCGGGGTAGGGAGGTGGCGGCTCAGCCCGGAAACCTTGGTATCCTCCATTGGGCGCAGCCCATTGTCCCATTTGAGGTGGCGGTGGTGGCACAGAGCCTGGCCAAGGCCGCATGGGTGGCCGTTTGACGACCGTTCGTGGCCGGCGACAGCGGTTGATCAGACACCAGAGAATTGAGAGGACAAGCAAGCCGCCAACACCGCATGCGACGCCAATGACGAGATTCTTGTGTTCCTCGATCCAGGACCCGATGTTGGAGCCGCCGCAGCGCCCGTTGTGGCAGTAACCCCCGCTACCGCAGGGGGTGCCATCGAGGAAGTTCTGGTTTATACTGTAGCATGTACCCAGGGACGGTGATGTACAGATCAATTCGCATGACGAATCGAATTGCGGGCATGCATATGTGTTATTGTCGTGGATCAAACTTCCCATGACGGTCCGGCATTGATAGTCACGGCTGGTGCATTGGCCACTGGCGCAGGTCAGGCCAGAGATATTACCACATTTATCTCCGTCCTTCTTGAACGAATCCGCGGGGCAGGTGCTTGAATTACCAGTGCAGGTCTCTTGCAGATCACATTCCCCGCGACTAGCTCGGCAGACGGTCCCGGCGGCGGAGAATTTACACTGCGAGCAGCAGCTGTCGTTGGCATCGTCGCACACGGCTCCATTCTTGAACTTGCAGGTTTTGGCGTCGCAGCAGGTGTTGTTGCCGCAGCCCGACTCACCGCCACAGTCACAGTCTTCGCCGGCTTCAACAATACCGTTGCCGCATTGGCTGCCGGTGTAGGTGACAACGTTGCGATTATCAGACAGACAGCTGGACTTGACACTGTTGCGACCTATCGCAGAGCAAATGTTTCCAATTGTGCAGGGTGAGAATGCGGTGATATCTGTTCCAGTACTCGGGTTCATGATGTACTTTCCATTGGCATCACATGTCCCCGTGCTGTACGGACAGCATTGAGAGGACGCCTCCAAGTTCTGCGCGCAGGTCATACTGTCGCAGTCATGCACCGCTCCGAAGGTGTGACCCGACTCATGTGCAAAGACCTGCCATCCACCACCCGAGACGCGGACGACAACGTTGGCCCCGGACACCGAGTTGCTGCCATCACTGGTAACTTCTGCATTGCAAAGTTGTCCAAGCCATGCCAAACCCACCTCGGTGCCGGTAGGGCAATTGCTCATAAGGGTCCAATAGGCATTGCCATCGTTCTGTTGTCCACGCCACTGGGAGAAAAGGTTGAGCCGCTGAGTTATGTTGCTTTGATCACATGGCATGTTCCATTGCGTCGAAGCTGGTGCAGTCTGCGGACATGTCTTGTCGGTTATGGTGAGATTCCGCAGGCCGATGGAAACATTGAACGACTTCTCATAGACGTCCGAGGCACTGTTGACCACGTTGACGATCCATTGCTTGGCAGCGTCGTCGTTGTCGAACGAAGCCCTGAATGAACAATCTGCCGCGATGCCGACCAAGGCTACTTGTTTTGTCTTGGGACACCCGGATGTGCTACCGATGGTTTGGGCCAGGTTAACACCACCCGCATTTCCTGAAACACCACCAATATCCGACTGCCGTTTGGTGAGGCCAAACAACGAGTTGAGAGACATGGAACCATAGCTGCTCATACCCGAGTCCATGGCTTGAAACTCAGAGCGGAAGATCGGATGCTGCGGGTCACTGTTGAAGCCGAGCTTGTCGGCCTGGCAGGACGACGAGCTGATCAAAGAACGCTTCAACTCATTGCGGACCTGTCGCATCATATCGGAATCACGGTACACAACCATATATTCATCCTTTCGGTCGGGAATGCCGGCATCTTCGACGCGCTTCTTCTGCAGGTAAGTTGACTTGAGTTCAACGTGGTGGTTGTCATTGTCGACACTGAAAACGCCTTCGAACAGGGGTTCGGAACCGTCCCGTTGGACATATATCCGTGCCCATCCCACAGGCCTCCACAGACCATTGTCTCTCCTCAGCAGAGATCGCCCTTTGAAAACCTTGTGCTCATGTCGTTGKATGGGCTCCTCGCGTTGAATGTTTCCTTCCGCGTCAAGGTACTGCACGTATGCATCATCGGCTAGGATGTCATGATTGGGTTCTAATTCTAATCTTATTGTTTGGTGTTTATCGGGAAGTTCGAATGTGACGTCGAAATCTGTAAGGTGGTCGACCTCATGAGAGGGCGTGTTGATTACCGCATGTTCAAGTATCGAGACATGTTGAATGGCACTAGGTTCTTGCGATCGGGCTGCACGACATTGGATGATAAGTTAGCTATCTTTGATGAAGACTCGTCGAAGAAGTAATGCGAACTAACCTCCAACCTGAACAGATAAGAGAGAAAGTGCACTCGCAACAAATGGCAGAGCACTTCTAAAAAACCTCATCTCCGTCGACAACTGGACGGAACCCCTACACTCCAATCAAGCAGGCTGTGGAACGTAACCTTCTCCGTATATCCTTTCAATCTCTTAAGGGGTTCGAATGAATGATACTGGCATCAGGCAACAATATAAAAGAATGACCGAGGAAATAAGATGAAACAATGTCTTAGGACTTGGTCCGATCAGCCGAGAACGTCAACACAGAGATATGCACCCTGCAAGAATCTTTCGTTGTCTATGAAAAAGGAAAAAGCGATCGATTCAGTATCGAGGGAAAGACGACTGATTGATGCTCACACTCTGAGACACTTAATTCACCCTTAGATAGAACAATGGCTGACGAGAAGCCTCCACCAGGATAAGACTAATAGGGATGACGGTCGCTGGGCGCCAGGCAGATCCGTTTTACTGGGGCGCAGCGGCTTGGCGGTACCGAAGTTGATGAACGAATGCCGGAGAAGCGAATGACTGAATTATGCAGAGAGATGAATTGGGGCCTGATCGTATACACGGTAGGAGGATGAGACGAAATGGTTGACGGTCAGGAGGAGAGGTTATGGAGAAGCGCGGTAAAGGTGGAGCGAAGATTCCTGATGCACTCGACTCTCACACAAAGGGTCTTCAGGGTCTTGTAAGAAACTGTTGAGAGGATTTATGCCATTGCCATCGATAGTGATCATGGAGGGATAATTAAGAGGCTTATTAATCGTCATCTGAGTACATTTCTGTAAGAATAATCCGGAATACATCGCTAGTCCTATTGATGGAGCATTAAGATGGCGAATGGCCGTTGTGCATTCCGTCGTCCAAGACAACCCTCCACCATAACAAGCGCCGAAGGATCTTGGCGGCTGATGCCCTGTGGGCCATTTTTAATTCGAACATACGTATGCCTGTCTTACCAGATTGAGTTAGAACGGAAGATTCTAGGAAGCACTGCTATTGCGAAGCATGTCTCCCCTCTGAGGGACTTGTATGGTTTGCGCTGGATAAAGTGGTGATAGGGTTATCAGACTTAATAGTGATACAAAGCAAAATAGAAAATGGATAAGTATCAAGGCTACAGTTGTGATCATAAGAAGCTTCGATCACACGTTCGAAACTTAAGAAACGTGGTAGCTCATGGACAACCATAGCCACATCCTCGAACCCAAGGTTCTCAATCATCCGGTGCGGTGTGGTAAGTCTCATGAGCAAGCATGGCAAAATGTGGTATCAACATCCCGCAAATTGTACAGGCGACACACGGCGTATCGACATCTTCGTCGCTCTCCTCCCAGGTATCGTTGGCTCTGGTGGAATCAACCGTCTTCGAATCCCTGTCTGCCTGAGCAATGCCACTGAAGGTAATCTTCTCCAGCTCTGGCGTAGGATCATCCTGCTGCGTCGCTTCCTGTTTACGGAACATCTTTCCAATATCTCGACCGCTGCTGTTCTTCTTGTCACCAGCACTCTCTATCATATTAGTCACGGCAATATTCAGAACACGGAGGTTCCAACCCGAGTTTTCAGGGTGAAGCTTGCGGAACATGGACATCGCCAAGTCCTGCACAAGTCGTTCTGCCAAAGCATCCACGTTCTCATCGAGATTGAAGATGTAGGATGGAAGAGGCGCGGAACGAGATATCCTGTTGAGACCATGGCGTTCTGACTGATCGGAGCCTAGAGATAGGCGAGGAGAGGTCGAGAGACGAAGAGTCTTCGGGCGAGCCACCCATCGGAGCTGTCGTTTTGCATTAAGGCCATCAGCTGCAGCGGATTCGCCGACTGGAGAATCGATATCAGGGTCCGTCTCAGTCAGGTCAACCCGCATGCGCCGGATCAAGCTGACTGTCAGAGCAACCAGCTCTTTCCTGACTTCTTTGAAGGTGTCTAAGCGACCGTATGAGTCTTCGATGCTGATCTGCGTCGGTAGATCTCGAGCTTGTAGAACTTCAGTGTTATCCACCCCGTGTATCAGGCCCCATATCCGCGCCCCAATGTCCCTGGGAGATCCTGGGCCGCCTAGAATCTTTTCTAGTAACAGAGGGCCCATGCTAGGGAAGAGACGGACGTCCCCAACCGTGACGACGTGGTCATCTGACTGTGGTCTTGCATCGCTAGCCCGGTCAACCTCTGTTCCGGCCCCAGTTACAGCCGTAGTGAGGTATGACTTGATTCTGTGCGCGGCTTTGTAGCCTATGCCAGGGATTTTCCTGATCTCATGAGCATCAAGGAAGTGAAGCACGTTGCTTTTCGCCCCATGCTCCGCCACAGTATAAGGCGGCAGGAGAGTTGTCTGACTGTCGGGCTTATGCGTATTTCCGACTACCTTTGAGAGAAGCTTTGATGTTGAAATGCCCACAGTGGCAGTGTAGCCCTTCTGGTGCTCAAGTTGGTTTCGAAGATAAGCTGCCAAATGGGATGCAACCAACAGTCTAATGCGAAGCCACTCCGAGTCGGCGTCTGTTACAACGTCGGGAACAGCTGGATAGGTGTGTCCTTGAAAGCCTGTTGCATCGTACGTGAAACCCACTGTGGGATCTTGACGGTCAAGGTGAAAGAACGAGTTTTTGAGGTCATTACGATTCAGCATCTCGACATTGTAGGTAATCATCTCAGACACATCGAGGAACACCTATGCTTGATCATTAGTATCGGGCCAAATCCTGAAAGCACAGATGGAGTATACACTTACCTCATCGAAGCCCAATTTCTCAACTCGGTTTCCCCAGACAAAGTCCCGAAGAAAGAGATAGAGCTCCTTGGAGGCATTGCGAAATCTGGTGAGGTCTTCACCCAGAACAATGACAACTTCCGGACAGATCTGCTTCGCTTCTTTGATCAGTTGCAGTTTTTGCAGTCCTCGTCGTCGAGCTTCGTAGTTACAAGTCACCACGATCTGCTTTTGTTGCACTGCCAGAGGCAGGGATTTGAGCACTGGCTGTTCCGCCTCAAACACTGAAGCATAGAAGCAATCATAATCCTGTATTTTCAGGGGCTATTAGCGATCATTACCATAATCTAACCAGTCATTCTCCACGCTTTTCTGCTCATAGTTACGAAGGGCACTAACAAAGTGAATGACGATTCGACCGTCATCCCTACGAGGCGCAGCCATCTAGACTGGTCAAAATTTGGAGTCGTAAGGATCTGTCTTCGTTCGATACGTGACTATGCCCCATCCACTTGACGCCGAGGTAATGGTATTGTGCGGCATTGGTTCTGTTGGTGGACTATCTAACAGTGGGCATCATCGAGGTTGCAGAGAAAAGTCGGTGGCAAGAGCCCCCATTAATTAGTTGACATATTAAGCAACAACTTCAGCTGAGTCCGTGTTGATGAAAATGAGTCAACGAGAGTGACCACGTTGTCTGACTCGAGAATAGAGCTGTTGAGCGGCGAAGATGAAGTTATTCCAACCCCGAATTCCGCTGAAGATGATGATTGGACGGAAGCGGAGGCTGGGATCGTGGCACGGGAAACTGAGTGGCTGAATGGTGGAGATGTTCACTCACCCACGCACCTACTCCATGTTGCCTTGAATCATCTTGAATGATCTGAATGGACTACTCTGTACGGAGTACGTAAAGTTATTTGGGACTTGAAGCTGGAAACCCACTTCAGACTGCGTATTATGCTGGCCCTTATGTTAGGCATACTCTCGAGCACTCGGATGATCCTCGGGATGAGAAGAAGGGAAGGGATATGCCATCAAGCCAAAATAAAGTCACTTGCAAGCAATTTCGGAGACCTCCAAGCCTTTACAGCCACTCTGAATGTATGAGTACACTGACGCGCTGTATTAATCAGTGCATTCTAGCTTCTTTGAGCGATAAACAGGTATGAAATTTCTTCTTCACCATCGGGTTATGTTTGATTCAGTCGGTAGATTGGAAGACTTGCAACATACATGAGACAAGCAGTGGAAACACAAAGCCCCATGCTGGACAAATCCCATGACTGAGATATCTCAGAGGGTGAACAACTCGAAACATTGTTCTCTGTTTAGACTGTGTTGAGCTGGCACTGTTTCTAGATAGTCCAAAAGGTCCAAATTGAGGGACTAGGGAACCATGGTTAAAATAAGTCCAGACTCCGGACGCATCAAATGTTACATTACCTTACAACTCTTAGTTACCGTTTTGTGACTAGTATGTATTAAAACGGAGTACATACTAGGTAGAAGCCTTCCCCACCGCCTCGTGTCGGCTTGATCTTTTTATAGTACCTAATCCGTACCTGGATATGGCACTGGAAGTATTCAGGTACCTACAACCTAAGCTATCATGTCTTGTCTATAAACGGGGTTTAGGTTGCAATATTCTGTGGACAATGTGCCGATTCCATCAGTGACTGTATCGGATTGTCTGATTTTGATATTATTCTGACCGAAGTCAAGTCTGGTGGTGAATCAGTTGGACTTAACGATCGGATCGACAGTAGACATACGTATTAGCACGACAGAAATAGACCGGCTGCTCCAGGATGGCGTCCAATAGTCCCTGCACCCTCTGAATAACACGCCAACTACGGAGTATGAATGTGACAGACGCTTTTTCCTTCTCTTCAGGTCAGTTAAAGCTCTTCTGGAGTATTTTCACTCAACGTGTCTCTCTTCTTCTTCTTTTTCTTCATATTCACATCCATACCTTTATTCCTACCGACTTTGACCGCAGAAAGACTGCTCAAAGTCATTATCGTTGAATTTGCCTCCGCAGTTGCATTTCTAAAATAGGAAACCCTCCAAGCGCCCTTCTTCATCGTTGTATTTCTATTCTTGTTTTTTTCAAAAATTTTCCCATCTCTTAGTAGATATCTTAATATCTCCATAATTCCCACTTAGCTCCAACGTCTCCATCGATTATCTGACGGTTTTATTGTTTGGAATCGATCTGGCCAACTGTGGGCTTTACTTATAGTCTACTCCCCTCCATCGCCTCTTCGTGCGGGGCGCAGTCCGTCGTCTGTCTCCTCTTCTCTACATTGATTTTATCCTTATTTCCTCGGGCTCTCCTCTCGATCATCTTGCGCCATTTCCTAGACCTCCCTCTCTCCGTCTCTTCGCCATGCTCGCAGCCCCCATGCCCCCGTTACCGTCTCATCTTCACCCTCCTTCCGATGTTGATCGAACGAACGCACACACAATCTCACAGACCTCGTGTCAAACAGGCATCGCTTCCACAAATATGTCGTGCGGCATATCATCAAACACAGCAGGCGACGGGCGGTCGACCATCCCACAGAGACCGAAACTCACGCTTCAGACCAAATCACTACCAATGACGTTCGGCAGTTCAACAACAGGGCTGTCTCCCTCGTTAGCAGCCGGTGCCACAGCGTCTCCCACTGTGCGCAACACTTTTAGAAACGCCTATGATGTCTCCTCCTGTCCGCCTTCTGCTACCGTGTCACCCTCCAAATCTTCCATATCAAGATTCGGCAAACCCTCGTCACCATATCCCTCTAGTGCTAATGGGAATCCATATCAACAACCTCTTGGGGTGAAGAGTATTCTTCGAAACTCGCCATTAGAACCTACTGCTAGACGGCGATCGATATCCGTGGCCCCGAACGGGCCTAATGGAGGATCGAGCTCGCGCAGGATGTTCTTCCCCGCCGAGAAACGGGTGAGCTATCGGTATCCACTTGAGGAGGAGATCACGACCGTGCACTATACCGCGCGCCATTCCGACCTCGCTGACCAGGTGGAACATTACCCTTCTGGAGAGGCTGGCTCTGGCGAGGACTCGGATGCCAATTCTAGCTTTACTTCGTCCGACATAAGCACATCCGACGAGGACGAATATCGCGCCACATCACAGTCTCAACGCGAAAGGAAGAAGAGGAAACCTTTAGCTGCGGAAAGACAGATTCGAGCAGTGGCACTATTGGATGGGCTAGAGACCGATCCGTATGGTTCCTCAACTCCCCAGACACCGCGCCAGCATCGCGTCAAGCGCCGTTGCGAATGGAGATGGACCTTGGGACCATTGGAAAAGCGGAACGAGCTTATCCAAATACCTCAAACACCCGACGATGCATCTTCTAAGATTCTTGGGGCAAATGCCACACCTGCATCGGATGTGAATACTCCCGATGACAAGGACACCGAGAGCTTGGCCACGAGCGACTCGGAGGATAGTCGGTCTTCCAGCGCTTCTCAGAGGCTCTCCACCCCAACCTCATCTGTCGCATCTCCGGAGGACAAGGTCGAGGGCTCGAACACAAATCAAGCCCTTGAGACTGGGCAGCCAGATACCGATAGATCTCAAGATTCCTGAACTATACCACCTCGCATTGATGATTTATTTGGTTACGATTTACGTCATATAGACACGCATACTCCTCATATCGAGCCTATTCAGCGCCTTACATTCTTATATTTTTTCTGGAGTTCTTTGCTCTCAGGCATTCCATGTATCACCTCAAAGCATTCGTCGCTCCGTTGTCTGAGACCACCGGGACCCCTGGTCGATGGCTTGACAACCTCCACTCCATGATGCATTTTTGTTTTAATTCACCGTATATACACACTTACTGTCATATTCTAATATCGTCGTGATTGCTGGCAATCTAACTATTCTCTTCACGTCTTCCAACTGTCCCTTTCTCTGCGTCATGAACCCCACCCTCGCCAAATACGAGACTCTTCCCGAGCACGAGGATAGGCGATCACCAACATGAAGATTAATATAGTAACAACTAAACCTGTAACTGGTAACAAGTGGCAAACCATGGAGAGTCTGAAACCCCGCAGTGAAAAATGCAGTCCTGCGTCACTTCGAGGTATTTTCGGGCAATCACATCAACAAACTATTGGAACCTGTCCCAGGATTGCCTAGTAGGCAATAGCCTTCCCAATAATCATTTAATTAAGGCCAGTACGGAGTGTTGGCAGAGGCTATTCGACTGATCTGATTGCTTGCCGCTGTGATAAGTGATAAGCCTGCAGATACCCTTGCTTAGACCCTTATTACCGTAATTATCACTTGGAGTGGATTGTGGACTAATTACTTCTGCATATTCGTATACAACTAGGAACTAGAACTAAATAGAGTATTCATAGAGCAAGTATAATACGGTATCCCCGAATCAATTGAAAACCAATCATGTACCATGTACCCCGTACAGACATTTTTCGTTTAAGACGATGATAGACGCAGTCAAAAGAAGAAGGATTAAACAGACTACTTTCCCGTCTCAGTCTCGACGTCCGGCTCTCGTCCGGTCAGATGGCCGGTGAACTTGTACTTCACTTTGCGCAGTGCATACTTGGCTTCATCCCGCGCGAACACCGCGTTGCGCGCCGGCTTCCACTGCATCAGACCGCGCTGCTGGCGCTGCTCGCTGCGCTTGGCTGCCCGCTTCGACGGGGCGTTGCTTGAGCTGGCTTCGCTGGGCCTCGGCGATGTGGTGTCCGCGGTAGTTTGAGATTCGGGAAGTCGTCGCTGCTGCTGCTGCTGCTCCTGCTGCTGCTGCTGCTCCTGCTGTTCTGGTCGGGTGTCCTCGTCTGATGACGACTCCGATGAGAACTCCTCAATATCGCTGGGGTGCGCGGCCCCGGTGACCTCGACATCCTTGGGCGGTGGGTTTACTGGGTCTTGCGGGGGCTGGTCGCGACCTGGCTCCGCGATCTTGCGGCCCTTGGAGTCGATATAAGCGGACGGGTCGTCGCCAAACGCACCGCTCCAGTCGTTTCCGTGCTTGTCGATCCAGCGCTTGCGCTCTCTGGGGTGGCTTTGTTTCAAGACGTCGCGGCCGGCTCTGAGGGATTGCTCGTGAAGTTTCTCGACGTCCTCGGGAATCTCGGCGGTGACTCTGTGAGGCCGCACGCCTTCGGCCATGCAGGCTTCCCATGTTTCATAGGTTTCGCGGGAATTGTTGTCTACCACGTATTGCTCGTGGGAGTCATCGATACCGGGGGTGAAGAGACCCCGAAGCTGCAGACGACCGATTTGTTGGAGGTCTTCCAGGCCAGGTACTTCCTTCGCTTTCCAGTTTTCCTCGGTGATGTAGTTCTGGGTGAGTCGTCTTCCATTCTTTGTCGACCAAATAGGTAGGTCGATTTCGGTCTCCTCGTTATCCACGAGGTGTTGCAGCCACAGGATTGCGTAACCCGCAGCTCCGTGTTTGCCCTGCGTGTGCACCTCGAATACGACCGGGGACCGATAGCGATGCTTCACTGGAAGTCGAATGCTCCGACGGAAGTCTTCATTAGTCAGGTCGTAGTATGAGTTGTTCCCCTCGATATGGCACTGGCCACGTGGGATCTTTCCACTGCTTCCACCGGTGCGCAGTTTGATCTTAGCCCGATGGTTGAAACCCTGCAGCGTAAGCTTGTCCGACACAAAGTGGAACGTTCCTACATCCCACCCGAGCATGTTGGGGGGGAGCTTCGTTTCGACGTGCCGGAACAGTACCGAGATACGAATCCGCCCGAAGCCAATACCGCCATCGAGAGGATACCATCTGGTGACTTGTGAGGAGTTTTGGAAGAGGTCGCTAAGTTTCAGTTGCACCACGCCCAGGATTGGGTCGTGCTCCCGATATCGCTGGTCCCTGACGGTCACGTTGACCATTGCTGAACGCCAGTCGCGGACGAATCGCTCAGTACCAGCATTAAATATAGGCTTGGAGCTGAGTGCTTTGGCTCGAGTCCGGTATATCTATGCGAGACGTTAGTTATTATTATTCGGTAGAAGCGCCAGAAAGCACTCACCAGCTCATCATTGAGTATAATCTTGCAATAGCTGGTGGGCAATTCTTTGCTTTCCTCTTCAGTGCTTTCGCCGTAACTCTTTGCCGGCTCGTACTCCCTTCCCTTTCGAGAACCACTAGTACCTGTAATATTGGCAAGTTGCAGGTGCACGATTTGATGAACCACAACGCTCAGAATACCGCTAGGCCACAACGGATCGGGTGGCGTATGCGTGATCGCATCTTCTTCTTCAGTAATGATAGTGCCCTTCTCGTCCTGGAACTCGGGGATGTTTTGGAGATTCTCCGGAAGGTCTTTCCTCTTGCCATCCGTTCTCAGCTCCGGCCTCAACTTCGGCTTTCCAAAGAACCCAACTTCCCAATGCAGCTCACCGGGCATCTCGGTACCCTCGTTCAGACCCTGAAGCTTGGAGACGTGGGGATACATGCGGCCTGGGTGCGCCAGCATCTCCCGGATGGGCAGTTCCACTTTGCCGACAATGTCATCGGCCGTGTTACGATCCGAGTCCCACAGCTCAACGCTGAGGTTCTCATCCACCTTGATTAGTTCCGGAGTGACAAGCAAAGCTGCAGTCTCTTCCCAGATCGGATTCAGATCATCTGTAATCACTCGCGTGCAGTACATAGGTTTGCCGTATTTGGAGAAGGAAAGATTGATATAAGGATCACTTCCGCCACCACGGCTGCCACGCTTATCCTGCTTGCTCAGTCCAACGGCACGGTGGATCCGAACCCACATCACACCGATAGCCTGGGTTTCCTTGATGATATCGTCACCCTTGAGGATCATACCCAGGTCCATGGTCATTGATTTGGGTGCTGCGAAAAGGCTGCAGGCAGTGCCTATGGCATAGTTGACGAAGTTGGAGAGCAGCGGTAGATTTAGGATATTGATACCATGTCTCACCATCGGCATGCACCCGGCTCTAATATGCGGAATGCCAACAAGACTGTACGTAACCTGCTTCATAAAGGGAGCTTCTGGCATCATCTGCAGTCTCAAGCGTACAGTTCCAACCATCTCAATCAATTCCACAAACACCGGGAAAGGCACTCCGAATAGACCTTGGATTCCCAGGAAGAATATAACCTGCATATGCATGTTACGTGCTTTGGAGGAAGCAGTTTGCCCACTCGGCTTTGCATGGTATGCAAAAGAAGCTTCAAGATTGTAGTAGCTGCCACCCTCTTCAGTAGCTGCTGCCTCCTGAGGATCCTTGTTTTTCTTGTCCTCCTCGCGGATATTGTCTTTCAGTTGCTGCACGTGCTCGTCTGGAAGAGCCCGCATGCTCAGAATTCGTATAGGGTTGTTTCCTTGGTCAATTTCAGCGATGCGGACGTTCTCCACAACACTTGGCGCAGAAGCTTGCATGATGTCCTCGATAGTATCGGCTATGGGGGCCAACATATCGGGGTTCAGCAGGCCCCAGACGACGCCGAGGAAAGAATTTATCCATTCGACAGACTCCGGCAACAAGTTGGCGGTAGCCTGGTTGGCTTGGCTTAGTCAATGTTCCTTAGACACGTACAKGATGGAGAACCTTACTGTTTGCCCTCGTAGCTGCTCACTGCTCCATTCCATTTCACGACCACTCCGGATGACCTCTTTCATCCACAACCAGATCCCAGTTGTAGTGCAGCATGCCAAGGGTATGAGGCCCCATAGCGAACCACCAAAAACACGACCGAGGAAGAGTATACTAAGAAAAAGACCCAAGCAGACTCCGGTCGCGCGCTTTTCCAACTGATCGAACATAGGCTTGTAGGAAATCGTCGGTGTAGGGTGAAACAGAATGTTTGTTTTCTCGCCGTGGATCGGCACATCGGATGTGGTGCCGTCAGCGATGGGATCAGGTGGTGCGGTCACATCCTGGTTCTCTTTGTATTCCGACAGATTCTGGTGCGTATCGGTTTTGATTTCCTGCATCGCAGACGTCAGACACAATCCGGCATAACTATCCCCCAAGGACTTACTGTTGGCTTTCCCAGGTTGGCATTGGGGACCACTAACTAGAAGACAATTTAGCAGAAGTTCCCTTTTGCGTCGCAGGAAGCGGATCAAATTACCTTGGGATCTTTCACGGTGTCCATTGAGTGTTCGTTCTGGTCCTCTACCTCCATGTCTTTGCCGGTAACCGGGTCTCTCACCTTCCGAGTCTTACCCTTGGCCTTCTTGCGCGGTTGATGAGGACTAGCACCACCTTCGCCCTGTCGTTCTCTGGCAGTCTGGGCTTCGCCATATTCCTTCCGTTCCTGTTCTTCACTCTTGAGACGCTCCATAAACTTAGAGATGGTTGGAACGGGGTAGGTCCCGCTCCAATGTTCTCCAACTTGATGTTGCTCTGGGGAAGTAGACCCCATGCTATTGGGATTCGGCGCCATTTCGAATGCCAGTCAAGACTTGATCGAACTGGGGAAGTGAAGAAAGAACCTTATGAGCTGTAGTATAAATAGCAAAAGGAAGCTCTCATCCCATTCAAATTGGATTCGATGTGTTCTGGATAAGGAGTATATAAAGAAGAATAAAGTTGACACGGGAGAGTCGCGTGAGATCCTCAATGGC